CATGGATTTAGAGGGTGTCACGCTGGACATTTTTGATCACGCTTTGTCGAAGTTACCGAAATACGACACTTAAAAGAGAGAGATACACTGTATCTTCCAAAATTTGCAAGCTTAAAGGAGTACCTAAAGGATGGGAAACAGTACAGCAGTGAGATGTGTGGAGTTGAAGGTGTTATGACCAATGGAAGTGCCTCTAAGACCACGTCCTACGACCATTAGAATTTCCTAATATACGTGAATTGATCTACCCGAGTGAGAGCTCGTATGTCTCTCAAAGCTAATGACGAACGTAAACACAGATAACTTCAGAAATATACAAGAAAGGAATTATTTTTAACTTTAAGACATGTAAGATAATGGAAAGGGGAAGACCAGGAGGTCTCTACTTAATGTAGAAACCGACTGTAAGAATCTGATAGATAACAAGATTTTGGAGAGGATCTAATTCCAGTCGTAAACACCGGTGGTTTCACTAGATCATACTGAACACTTCAGGTCATTCTTGTGGGCAGTTATTAGTCGTTTCAGTCGCAGTTCTAAGTACGAGATTGTGGCCCCGGGGTAACTAGTTTCTGGCATAAGTCTTGTAGTCACACTCCCAGGCTGCTTAGACCCCTGTCGCCAGCTGCTTAGACCCCTGTCGCCAGCTGCTTAGACCCCTGTCGCCAGCTGCTTAGACCCCCCCTCCCTCCGCCAGACCCCCTCCCCCCCTCCCTCCGCCAGACCCCCTCCCCCCCCCTCCCTCCGCCAGACCCCCTACCCCCCCTCCCCCATCTTCAATCACATGCTCTCAGCACCTTCGACAGCCCAACATTCCCGACAGTAAGTTCCTCGTTCCGTTAAGCGCTCGGAATTGGGTCGTTCACTCAATGCTCGCGAGGCGAAGAGCAGTTATTTTCGCCTTTATTGGCCGGTAAAAATGGCGGCCAGCTGGTGATTTATACGGGTACCGGGCCCCCAGCCTCGCCAGATGGTATCTGGGAGAGGTACCGGGGCCCTCAGCCTAGCCAGGTGGCGTCTGAGAGCAGTACCGGGGCCCTCAGCATCGCCAGGTGGTGTCTGGAAGAGGTACCGGGGCCCTCAGCCTCGCCAGGTGGTGTCTGGAAGAGGTACCGGGGCCCTCAGCTTCGCCAGGTGGTGTCTGGAAGAGGTACCGGGGCCCTCAGCTTCGCCAGGTGGTGTCTGGAAGAGGTACCGGGGCCCTCAGCTTCGCCAGGTGGTGTCTGGAAGAGGTACCGGGGCCCTCAGCATCGCCAGGTGGTGTCTGGAAGAGGTACCGGGGCCCTCAGCTTCGCCAGGTGGTGTCTGGAAGAGGTACCGGGGCCCCCCAGCCCCGCCAGGTGGTGTCTGGAAGAGTTACCGGGGCCCTCAGCCACAGGTGCCGTCTGGGAGGAGTACCGGGAGGGCTGGTCATTGTAGTCGGTCATTATAACACATCTGGTACTTCCGGTACGCCCACCGGGGACAGATATCATCTCGTGTACACAGCACGCAGCATCCTATTGTTTACAATGTACATTTTCACCGGTATAGCGCTCTGTAATTCCCGTTTTCTGTGGGCTGGATAGACGGGGAATATTAGAGCGATGCCAGTGTTATGGCTGACGTGGAGGGGAGAGGACCTCGCCGCTCTCCGCCTCCCTGATTCCTGTGGCCGCTCTCTCTCTCGCCTGATATCGTGGAAATTTACACCATGAGCAGATATCGATCTCGTTTCGTGGGCCTGATCGTTGAGCAGTGATTATGGCGGTGTTGCAATTGTCTATTCTGTGTCTTTGTCAGTGATTTAAGACCAAATGTAAAGCTTTTTGTAGCTAGTGTTCTTTTGCTATCTGAAAATTTGGATAATTCCTCGTATTTGATGCGGCCAGAAATCGTGTGTGTGTATTGTGTGTAAATGATGCCTAAACGTCCGGTTAACACGTGATACATTGTGAGGTATCCGGTGACATATATCCGGGACGGGTTATCCGGATCTCGGACGGAAGTTGGCGTTTAATAGTGGCGCTAGGGACGAGCCCGTCCCTGATGTTAGGGACGGTGGTGACAGGACCGGTGTAAGGGGGCTGTCAGTCCCGGATAGACGGTGTTAAGACACCGTCCCTGTCCCTCCGTCCACCTGTCCCCGCATCAGATCGTCCCACGTAGCGGCTCTCCGCCGCCTATCCGGATACTGGCCGTGTCGTAGGCCGCGGAATTTAACATTTTTCGCTCCGCTTTTCAAAACTGCGGGCGTGGGCGTGTGGGGCCATGGCCCATGGGCGTGAGGGGGCGGCGGCCCTGAGGCACTGGTGCCACCCTGGAGTGCCTGCGGCCATGGGCGGCTAGGTTGCGGGCCATGGAGACATCCGGCCACCACCACCGCCGCGCGCTCTCCTGGAACTGTCGCCGATCCGGCAAGATTTCTCCGGCCACGAAAGACAGAGATGGCGGGGATGGGGCCGCATGGTGGGACTTTGGGCGCCGAACCCGATCCCGAGCCCCATCCCCCTCCAAGGACGCCCCCCCCGCCAAGGACACGTCCCCCAAACGGACCAAATCGCCCCCTAAAGACAGAAACAAAGTGGAACTCTTGGAGTGTTCGCCCGTCAAAGACGAGCGATCTCCCACTAAATCCAGACCTTCCTCGCCGCTCCTCGCCCTGTCGAGGCCCTCCTCAGGGCCCTCGACACGGCCCTCATCCCCCTGCTGCCCTCTGGGGCCCTTCATCTCGGCCCTGAGCCCTCTGTCAGGGATGTCCTCGCCCTTGAGCGCCGTCTCGCCCTCCTACAGGCTGGATAGTGTTGTCCTCTGGTCATCAGCCCTCTTCTCTCCCCCCTCACTTATCATCGATCTGGACGTAAGTCTTAATCGCCTGTGTTCGCCGTAAGTCTTACTCTCCTTGTGTTCCTCCTAAGTCTTACGATGCCTGGCTGACTCCAGGTCTTACGATGCCTGGCTGACTCCTGGTCTTACGATACCTGGCCGATCACAGGCTTATTTTCAAACAGTGGTTCGCTCTCTCTATCGGTTCGAATCCCACCTCTGTAAATGAGTTATCTATACCCATATATCTATACCCACGTACTGCATATACAATTATTTAACCAAGAGAACCAAACCTGACTATACACAAAATTGTATTATATAATAATAATAATTTTATATTTAGGAAAACGGCTGTTTCGAATACACAGAATATTCGAATTGCGGAATTCATCTTTGGGGGGGTTGGGGGGGGGAGCTTGTACAATCATAGCCCGATGGTGGATTGTTGTTCTGTCTTTACAACTTATGACAATCGCGAATTGTGTTTTGCATACACGTTTGTGAAGCCTATATATCATTATGTGAAATGAAGATGTTCTTATTAATACATATAAATTTCATGTGATTTCATTGTACTTGCCTAATTGTACTTGCGGGGGTTGAGCTCTGGCTCTTTGGTCCCGCCTCTCGACCGTCAGTCAACTGGTGTACAGGTTCCTGAGCCTATTGGGCTCTATCAAATCTACACTTGAAACTGTGTATGGAGTCAGCCTCCACCACATTGCTTCCTAATGCATTCCATCTGTCTACTACTCTGACACTGAAAAAATTCTTTCTAATATCTCTGTGGCTCATTTGGTCACTCAATTTCCACCCGTGTCCCCTAGTGCGTGTGCCCCTTGTGTTAAATAGTGTGTCCTTATCTACCCTATCAATTCCTCTGAGAATCTTGTATGTGGTGATCATGTCCCTTCTAACTCTTCTGTCTCCCGGTGACGTGAGGTTTAATTCCCGTAGTCTCTCCTCGTAGCTCATACCTCTCAGTTCGGGTACTAGTCTGGTGGGCAAACCTTTGAACCTTTTCCAGTTTAGTCTTATGCTTGACTAGATATGGATTCGATGCTGGGGCTGCATAATCCAGGATTGGTCTCACATGTGGTATACAAAGTTCTGAATGATTCCTTACACAAGTTTCTAAATGCAGTTCTTATGTTAGCCAACCTGGCATATGCTGCTGCTGATATCCTCTTGATATGAGCTTCAGGGGACAGGTCTGGCGTGATATCAACCCCCAGGTCTTTCTCTCTGACTCTTGAAGTATTTCATCTCCCAAATGATACCTTATATCTGGTCTCCTGCTCCCTACACCTGTCTTCATTTGCTTGAGTACTTTATTGCCTACAAATTATATCATATATGTATAATTGCAATTTCCTAATTCAAGTTATATTGACTCCTGAAGCACTCGATAACTTTGATAGTGTCCGCTGGCCTAAAGTGAGAGAGAGATTATACTTTTATGATGCGATTTTAGAGTGGATCCCGTAGATTAGGTGATTACCACCTGGCTCCCCTTAAGTGAAGGCACTGATTACGTCCCAGCAGATGATCAGGAGAGTGGTGGGGGCGTCGTATTGGTTTTTTGAAGAAGGTCAAAGGTCACTCACGCCACCTAGGAGCGCCCCGATAAAAATGAGATGAAAATTCCGTTTCTTCAAGAAAGGAATTCATTTAATACGATAGTTCTTAAAACAATGTTATTGACATTTGTGGTTTTAATTGATTGTATCAAAGCGAAAGGTATTAAGTAGTACAAAGGTACTTAACTTAGTACAAAGGTACTAAACTTATTACAAAGGTACTAAGCGAAACAAAGCGATTGTATCTAGAAGGAACTCTTATCATGCATGAAAACCTTTTTTTTGTATTCGGAATGATCCTTTGGTTCAAAGTGTTTTGGAGCCAAAGGTACAGCGGTGAAGATAATTAATGACTTACTGTAAATATATAACTCTTGTAATAGCACTTTATCTGTAACTAGCTGACATTGTAACTATCAGGTGTGAATGATAGATGAAATTGTTTATGAAATGATCTAAGATGAGGTCCGATAAAGACCTTTTGTGCCCTCTGTAAGGCTTTTTTTGCGCTACCGCTCACAGGATGAGTATGGGGTGCACAATAAATTAGCCGCCTTCGGTGGCAACATCAAACAAGTGCTGAGCGCGTTCCTAGGAGCGCCGAGCGCGTTC